ACAAAATAACTTATTGGATACCAACTAGGAATTCAACTCAAAAAAAATAAACCTAGACATTGTCAAATTATTCAATGATATCACTATTTTCTAATTCAGCGAATCAAAAATCAAGTTAAATGTAAGAAAAAGCTTGAAAAAATACTAAGTTGCAAAAAAATATTTAAATGTAAAATGCTGCTATTGGCTACCTAATATGATATTAAAATATTCTAGTGAGACAAAATAAACAAACATGATATTAGCACAAACAAACATAACCAACAAACTTATTACAAGAAACCAAAGTCAAATATAAGTTGGTATCCAACACTCATAATAAATTAGGTGAAAAATAAAAAAATAGCAGAAAAATTAACAGAAAAGAATTAGATAACATTGAAGTAAAAATGAAAAACATATGTAATAAAAAAGTTTAAAAATAACAGTTAAAGTAATATAAAATGTGAAAAACAGAAAAAAAGTCATAGACAATCTCTCAAAAAAAAAAAAAAAAAAAAAACAAAATCATTAGTAATAATTATAAAATGATTAAAAACACCAAAATTTTCATAATAATAGTTAAATTAGGAACAATAAAATAGAACAATAAACACTTAAAAAAGTTAGTTGCCCAGAGAGGGCAAATTAAAAAGTAGAACAAAACAAGATAAAAACTGATAAACAAAAAAAAAAAAAAAAAGCAACTGAATTCAATAAAGTTTGACCTAAAGTAGCTATTTTCGAATTTTGTTCACGAAAAAAAAATCCCTTTCACAAACTTTTTGATTCTCAAATACACTACAAACAATTAATATTAACACATGCTAGCATAAAATGAATGAGCTTCATGCCCATTTTTCACATTTTTTTTTCACAAAATTTACAATTTTTTATTAAGCTCTGAATTCAGTTGCTTTTACACTATAAATTATTACTAAAAAAAATTTCAATTTTTATTTTTTTTATTTTTTTATTTTTTTTGATTTTTTTTGTTTTTTAGTTTTTTTGATTTTTTTTGTTTTTTTTATTTTTTTGGTTTTTCTTTTGTTGTTTTTATGTTGTGCTTATATAGTTTAATTTTTTTTTGATTTTTTTTATTTTTTAAATTTTTTTCATTTTTATTTTGCGCAATACTAACCTGCTTCGGTGTTCTTGTTAGGGCAGAAGACTGGAGAGCTGGGACAGGCAGTAGCAGGTCAGCCGCGTGAGGAGGGCCGGATGTTATCACTGGCCTGAAAAAAAAAATCGCTGGTTAGAAAAACTATGAAATCCACTTTCTGAATGTTTTGTTTTCTGTACATTCGAATTTTCATTTCCTTCTCAATTTCAAATTTCATTTCTTAGATATTAGTAATTTCTCACCTGGAATGAAGAGGTGGCTGGCATCCTCTTCTCTCCCCACTAGGTCAAGTCTGCGGCGCTTGACCTGCCTTTCGTTGATCACGGCCGCACACGCTCTCGGGCACCAATCGAGAGCGTGAACTTCCGTCGCTGCTCTCTTTTGCGCGGCCGTGAATCCGGGTGGCAGCAGGAGGTAATGGCCACAACGAGCGCAAAAACCTGAAATATTCATAATGAATTAGTCCGCCAACTTTTAGATAAATCAAATATGCTAATGTTTTTAAAAACTAATTGCAAATTCCGCTTAGAAGTACTTACCATCCTGCTTATGCATTCTCGAGGCGTGAATACGCCACCCTTTCAATGTGCCAAACTGCCTGCCGCAGATACCACACACTGAAAATAGAAATGATTAGAAGAAGAATGGAAATTTTGTGACCGTTTTGAAACATTGTAAAGAAGAACATTGTGACATTTCACTCATAAATATGATTTTATCATTAAAAGATTAAAGTATGATTATATTCCTTTAAAATATTACAAACATAAAATCATCTTCTAACGTTATTAAAATTACAAATTACCGATGTTCTTCTCTTCATTTGCTTCAACCACCGTGTATGGTTCTGCTTGCGGCACTAGCAACTCTCGTCGGAGCTGCTCCGGAAGATCCCCTAAATCAGCGGGGTGGAATTCTTCCGGTGCTGCCGCAACCGATGTATGCGTCGCCGGAACCGGAATATTAATCGTCCTCGTCCTTCTGAAATAGTTTCAAATTTGGTTTAAATTATTCAGCAGATCAAATTAACAAAAAGTTAGCAATTGTTCTAGTTATTACTTTGTTTACTACATGGTTACTACATTTATTTCAGATATCAAAACTTACAGGACGAGTTCGCGAACTGATTCGACCGGTTCTGCAACGGCATTTGGTGCCACCGGTGCCTCAGTTTCTTCATCGCTTTCCGGCAGAGGAGCCCACTCTGCTTCCGTTGGCCAATTCTCGGCCTCATCAGTATCATTAGTTTCAGGCAGAGGGGCCCACTCTGCCTCTTCTTCGTAAAATGCCTGCTCCTGAGGCACCGATTCTTCTCCATCCTGCCCTTCGACCTCCGACCTCCTCTCCGTATCCTCCAAGCAGGTTAAGAGCAGATCTTCAATCTGAAAAGACCACATTTTAAGAAAGTACTTTCTATAACTTTTCATATAAATTAAAATTATAACTCTTTCTATAATCCTTAATTGATGACAAAAAAGAAAAATGAATTTACCTGCTCTCTTTCGCGCATATATTCCTGTAATGCACGGAGCATTACAGGTTCCCGTTCTAGATATACCAGAACATCGGAAATAGTCCGATGTTCTGGATTTTGGGCGACACGCGAGCCCACTCTATAAAATTATCAAATTAATCAAATGCAAATTGATGATAAAACAACGCCAAATTATGCGTTCCAATTATATTAAAATTGATCACAATACTGCTTATATCAATCATCAAATGCCTTGCAATTTTTCTTTAACTCAATTCTAATTTAAGAGAAAAAAAATGAAAAGATAATTTATAAAAACATTTCCTACTTAAGTGATATTCCCTACTGAAGGAATATATGCAAATATCTACTTACTTTCTTTTGATGCATTCGATAAAAGGCGCTATAAATCTCAGCATGCCGCACAAAATTTGTTATTTTTCCTGAAATTAATTTCTCGATTATATTTTGGAAAATTTCGCACAATTTCATCTTTTTTAACTTATCAAATACCCTACAATTTTTTTTTTTTAACCCAGTTCCAATTTAAGAAAAAAAAAAAGTTGAAAAAATCATTTATGAGAATCATTTAAAACATTTCCTACTGAAGTAATACTCTCTCGCGCTCGGAGAATATATGCAAATATCTTATCTTACTTAATTTGCACGAAAACTCGGTGTATACATTCAACCCAATTGCCCTTCACAGGGAATATCATTTGATCATATTCTCGATCTCTCTAGCACATCCCAATCTGATGTCAGTCGTCATACTATGCTGGTTGCCATCATCTTCACGTCCATGGTTCTTATGTATCCTTTTTTTATTTATTATTAAGTTATGGTTGTATTAAGATTCTTTTTGTTTCGATTACATGCCTGAATATCATTTGGTTATTTCCAACGAATCGTTTTTTTTTTTTTTTTTTTTTTTGAGTATGTTGTTGAATAAAAATGCATTGATTCAAGCTAATCAGCCATTTATTGTTTTTAATTGCTATTAACAGAATTAGCAATTTCTTATTGTTGTGATACCAATTCATTTGAAACTTTTGCAGTAATTATGTATTACCACTTTTCATCGTTAGTTATTAATATATTAATTCTGTTTGATTTCTGTTTTGATTAAAAGTTCTGCTATAATTGTTTCAAATTGTTGAAGTTAATAAAATGTTAATAGTGACACAATTTCACCACGTATATAATTTTTGGACTACACATAGGACTATGTTTAGTTATTAGGCTTCTGTTATGCTTGCTAATATGCATTCTACTAGACATCTGTGATTTTAAAAGTTTTTTAACATGACTTTATAAATTTTGACTGCTTACGTAGCTGTGAGATCGACAGGAGACGTTGAATGGTGAATGTTTTAGTTAGGAAAAAATTTCCAAAATAATAGCAATTGTGTTTTTTAACGATATGCGTATAAAATTAATACTCCATATAACAATGGAAAGCTCATCTAAAAGAATCGCAAACTAATTTTCCAAGTTCAAATATTTCTGCCGCGTTCTCGCTTACGAATTTGTTTTTACCGCGCGCACTCCCTACCGAATTTCTATTTTTGCCCTACCAAATTTCTATTTCTGCAAGCACAAAATATTGTGGAGCAACATTATGATCCAATATTCTGAGGAAGAATTTTACTTGCCCAGTTTCTTTTTTTTTTTTTTGATAGCTTTCAGATAAATTCACAAAAGATTTCTTCGCAACTAGATGAGATCATTTGTAGCTTAATAAGTGATAGTATAAGGCTCATGTATGATATAGCAGATCAACAAGACTCTGCATACCGTGACAAAAATTCATCTGATATGACAAAAACTCGTCTGCTAAAAATTATCCTTCAGCTCTAATAAAATAATCGAATTTCCATTATTAATTGTTGTGGCGGTTATTATTTCATAACAGCCACAAACTATTTCTGTACTCTCATTTATATTTATTCAATTAAAAAGAGACAGAACAATCTTGCAAATGCATTACAATATTTCACTACTACCATCATGATCTCATGCAAAAATCATTTACATGAAAGTTGCATCATTTAAGACACATATGGAGTCTGAATACCTTTGACTAATTGGAAAAAATAAATAATACAGAGTGTCTCCTCAACTTTATAGAGCTACAGATGTTTTGTTGCTTCTCAAATATTGCCTATACATTCGCAAAACTTCCACTCAAAAATGGCAGTAATTGTTTATGCTATAAAATGTGACAGTGAATATTTTTCGGTAAAAAGTTAAGTTACTAGAATTATAGTTTCACATCGAATTCCTTAATGGACATAAGACGATTACCTCCTTTTCTTTGAAACTATCTTTTTGATGCCCATAGAAAAAATAATACACACCAACATTAAGACGTTCAAGATACAAATGAAATCTATGAACAGGATGCGCTTGTAACGAGACAAATCATCTCAATGATTCCACATAACTTCTTTCTTCTAGTTCTTGTATGAAGGGCCTAAAATAGAAAAAATCATCCGAATATAATACAAATTTGAAATATTGACCTAGAAAGCGACTAAAAAGGGTAACAGAAGTGTTACAGTTACTCCGGATGCTTTTTTACAATGAAATTTTACAATGAAAGCTAAAATGATCACTGAAATATTTGTTTAAGCATTTAATTAATGTGAATAATATGCATACCCATGATTTCGTGATCAGTTGAAATCAAAATGGATACCCGGAAAAATTTTTTACCGGTAAAGTTTCCCGCAAAAAAACTTTTTTTTTCTCCGAATAACCCAGGAAAGCGACTGATTAAAAATTTCAATGTGGGTTTACAAAACTCACTCTGACATACAAACATTTTCGGTGAGCGGAAGTTATCACAGTCAGCAGTCATCCACTCTCCTGCGTAAGCTGCGTAAACACAATTTTTGTTGTCTGTTATATCCGGTTGTCCTGTACGCCAAAAGAAAAAATGTGTTAAGTTCCATAGGTACTAGTATCCCAATATCAATCCCTCTTTCCTGCAGGAATATGCTACCAAATTTAATCTCGAAGTTTATATGAAATAAATCCAACTGATCCTAAGGTGATATTTTAGCCACGAACTCTCATCTACGATTCCATGCAATGTATTAAAAATAACAACCAGTCAAATAGAAGAAAAAATCGTAAGTTAAGAAGCAAAAAGGATTTGCTATATTCTCAACATTTACCGCTTTTTTTTTTTTTTTTTTAAATTTGATAAATTTACTAACATAGTAACTAAATTACACTTCTCTAAATCCTGAATAATGAATTATAACATCAAATGTTATAGAGTCGTAGTCACCAAAATAAAATTATACCTCTTCTCAATCCAAGCCAGAACGACTTCCCACCAGCAAGTCCTGTAAATAAATTTTTATTAAGGCCTAACAAACCTTCAATAAAAATGTTCAGTCAGTTATAAAATTTCAATAATGAAAAAATAGATTATTATCGAGTAGTTAACAATTCTCCACTCAATAATGACTTTCAAATAAATTTCCATATAATTCAAAACACATATTTCTTTAAAGAAACAATAACAAATACTGGCTCAATCTTACCATAAGCTGTATGTGCCTCCTCCTTATTCCTAATTTTGACTATTTCACTATCCAATAAATTGCAAACTGTTCGGATTGCAAAACGAGGCATGAAGTTAGTAAAACCCTGAAACAGTACTACGTTAGTATGTCTGCAAGTCCTACTATTTCAGACAAATTAAGACTCATTCATTCTATAAATAGACATAGAAAAATATTGAATGATAATAGGTTTAGTATTATATATAATATAACTATTCTTAAGTATGACGTATGCTGCATGCATTAATCTCCTTGCAAATCTTTCTGCTCTACAATGACACCTAGTCATGCATAATATCAGAATGTTCAAGAACTTTCGATGAGATAAACAATCTAAGGTTAACGCCAACCCAAAATGACGATATAAGGCCGAAATTGTAGCTAAATAGATGATTAAAAAAATATAAAAACGAACCGCGATATAGCAGTAGTCATGACGATAAACAAATGATGTTTGACATTTCTGACCTAAAACAAAAATCATCTAGATGATGACCAGATAAAGAAACAATTTAATAATACCAGATATTTTGCAGAATTGAATTGCAGTAAGTAGAATGCAAAAATAGAAAACATTGCTTGAACAGCAGAACTATCCACAATATTTCTGTTAAAAGGATAAGTTTATGTGAAAAAAGATGCTTCTAAAGAATTTCAAAATGTTTGCAGAATAAAGTACAAAAATGAACGAAACAAATAAAAGTTTCTTGGCACCACCCAAATTCAATATTAATTTTTAACTTTATCACTGAATTTTGAGCTAATTATGCTCAGCTAAATTAAGCCATAATTATACCCAATCAGAAACTGCATTTCATTCAAAATGTAAAAATAAGCAATATTTTCAATAAATCTTTTACACAACTAATAATAATATCTATTAAAAATGCTCCCTATTTAACAGTAAAGAACTGACCTCTGTATGCAGTGGCATTATTCGGAACGGATGACCGAGACACTTTTTCTGAAATAAGAGAAAAAAATAAATAGGAGATCAACAACATTGTCTCATTAATCGATGCAACTTCTTCTCTTATATCTTTCTATCCTTTCTAATACATATCGAACAGTTTTTTTTTTCTTCTTTCTTTATTTTGCCATACACAATTTCTTTTTCAATGATTGCTCCTGGTCTTTCCTGAAATAATGTTTTCCAATTTGCGTAAAATCTCGGTAATATGTCTCTCCATGATTCATCTGTTACTAATCCATCATAACAAATTACTCAAATTGAACATTTTCGAAAAGAGCAAATTATCATTATTGTATGCCTCATTTTAATTCATAAATAATACTTAATTTTGCAAAAAAAAAAACGTGATTTAATCTCCCTTTGATCAGGAATATTCCAATTCACAAACACTTTCTCGACGTCTTCTGTTCCTTCTTTAACCCAACCACCGCATACAGCCAAGTCTGAAAATCGTTAATATTAATAATAACAATGGTAATAATAATAAATTCATATTCATACGACATTCTTTCATAAGTTATAAATTACTTATTGCATGGAGTATATAACCTTCCGAGAGCAAGATAGTTCACTTAAATTTAGCTAATCGGAAAAACTTAGAAGACTGAATGCTATTCACTTCTTAATCTCTTGATGATATCACTTTTTTTCTGACCTTATATCAGTTACTTTTAATCTTTTCCCATTTTTTTTTAAAAAAGAAAAAAACCATGTCTATTGGCAGTTCTATTCACTTTACTAAATTAATAAAGAAAGCAATGATAGAAAATACGAGGAAAACAGTAATGATAGAAAGTTTTTTTCCTTTAGTCTTATGTTATTCTTTTCTTTTCTTCTTTTTTTTTTGCTCGGCTTTGACGTCAATTTTAGAATACGTCAGAAATTCGAATTCATTTAACGCAGTGGCATGTGTAATACTACTACTATTACTATCATCATTACGCTTTTTATCTCTGAACATTATATTACTGAAACATATACCAATCATTTATGTACTAAACTTATTCCCATTAACTTAAAATTATTATTAGAAATCGAACAGCAATCGATCCGAAGCAGTCATTGCCCAATTCTTCCTCTCTTCCTTCTCATTATTTAAACTTAAGTGTAATGGTCTATTAATGGCTCCATTCCATTTATTATCTACTTTTCGTCTTCCGTTCTTTATGTTTTATTTTCTTATTCATTTGTATTCGATTTTACTTTTCATTTTTTCTTTTTTTTCACCTCTTTTTAGGATCACAGCAAATTTTAAACAGAAAAGTAAAGGAGTGGTCATTGGCGATCACTCGAAAATGCTACGGCAACTTTAATGCCATCAATAAATTCTCGAAAATTCCTTTGTTCTACTTATCTTTTTGTTTTTTGCAGTAGTAATTAAGTAGCAATCTATAGCAGGCTTATTTTTATTTATGCTCAACATATATTTGAAGTTTTTTATCCTGATTTCTTTGAATACTTTTTTTTGTACTATACACTGCCAATATCTTCGTTTAGCAACTCGTCCTTTCTTTGTTTTCATCATTGCTTTTCTTGAAAAAAATTTTATTTTCACACCATTTTGCATTTTTTCTATTTTATTTATCATTTTGTTGAAATTTCTCTTAAAGTATTATTTCTTATCACTTTTTCATTCCTTTCTTTTCTTTTCTCTTTTTATTTTACTTTATTCTTTTCTTCTTAAAAATATTTTTTATACCCATCATTTTCAAAGCCTCAATTTTTTCTCATAGCCTACGTTTTTATTCCTTCTGTTCAATATGTGACATTTTTGGTCGTTTTGGTCTTCATGTTTTTTTGTTATTTATGTATTACATTATTTTATTTTCCCTTTTGCATATCTTCTTATTAATTATAGCTGTTTCCCATGATTATTTTAACTTCATGCATACCTTTTTGCTAACTCCACTAATTTGCATGTTTTTTTCTGTTACTGTTACTTAGTGCATGCTGACCTCATTGCATGCAATTTTGATGAAATGTAGTATCGAAAAAAATGACACAGATGATTACGAAAACATACTTAGCAAGTTTATAATGTTTTCTGATATTAAATCATTCCAATCTATGAAATCTAATTGCAAGGAGTACAAACAAAGGAAACCAAAGTTAAAAAATACATTTACACCAAAGTATGACTAATGTCAACAAACATAAAATTGATAAAATTGTTAAACCACTTGTTATCACACCTACCCTATTTCCCACCACTTGCTACTACTTATTACGACCTTCTACTATTTGCTGCCGCTCCCTACTGCTACTGTAACCACTTACTACATAACTATTTGCAGCCACTTGCGTAACTATTTGTGATCACTTACAGCCAAGGGTTACTGTTTCCAACTGTTACCGTAACAGCTTATGATCACTCGTTACTGCAACCACCTGCCACTCATTGATACTATAGCCACTTTTACTACAGGTGGATGCAAGTGGTTGGAGTTGTAAGTGCTTGTGGGTGCTTACAGTAACAGGTGGCTGCAAGTAGTTGCGACAGCAACTGTCTACAGTAACAGCCGCAAGTCGTTACGATAGCAAGCAAGTGCAGGTGACTACAGCAACAGGCGGTTGTAAGCGATTACAATGGGAAGTGGTTACGGTGGCAAGTGGTTGCCAGTTAAGCGAAACGAAGAATTTAGGAACCGATGGTATATCTATTTTTTATATCTATTGTTTTCTTTTTTTCTCTATTGTGTTTAAATGTAGCTAGGTATGAGAATAGATATGAGATTTGCTGTTGTGCACTTTTATTGGGGCGTTTTTTCTTTATGTTTTCAATTTTTTGAATATAGTCATAATTGCTTCGTTATAACTAACAGAACCTAAAACAAACTAGCTTCATATTCCACTAGAACCAGGGAGAAATACTCGTGCTATCACGTCCAAAGCCGCTTACAAGATCAAAAAAAAAATAGTCCAAATTGCAATTTCAAATATGGAATAAGGATTTTACTACAATAACAATTTCGATAACCGAAAAAGGATTAAAACATAGTAAGAAAATCGTGTTTTCATGCAAAAAAAAAAAATCAATATGGTCAATCAAAATATAGTGGACATCAATACAAGGCTATTATACACTATTCGACACCGGTTTAGCTATACTTCATACCAAATGGACTGGCCAACCAATCAAAACCAAAGAGAAGGAGCTAGAAAATCGTTTTTCAAAAAAATCTAAAAATCGTTTCGTTTGGTAATGTCTTAAAACTAGCAATAAAAAAAGAAAACTAGAATTCCAAAAAAACTAGAATTAAAGCAAAACTAGGAATAAAAATGGGAAGAGCTAATGGAGGCGACTTGATCTCCTCATTGGAGCCAATCAAATAGAATTGAAATTTTGAAAGTTGAATTCTTACAGTACAATCAAAGATTAGACCAATGGCAGTTAGGACGAGATATACAGGTGATGGTCATAATGCAATATCCGTAGATCACATCGGTGTCACTAATGCCGGAAACATTCCAGATACGAATCAGTTCTTAAAATTAGAACTGATTCTTTATAAACTTAATTTAAAGCATATCGTTTATTGATATGTTTCAAATAATTATATCGAAATAGAATTAGAATTGATAGGATTTAAAAACAATCTAATGCTCATGATAACAAGACATTTTTGAGACAATTGAAATAAAATATCTTTAAAAAGCAAAGAGTTATAAAATCTGTCGGCCATGGAAAAGTCAAAGATTAAATTAAACGAGAACCATGGCCTTTGTTTCACTCGATTAAAATAATAAATCAAACGATTTCAAACCATTCTGAGCTACTTAGTCAATACAGTGAAATAATCCAAGAACATCTTCAACCAAACATAATCAAAGAAGTGTATTTCGATATAACTATTTGAAACATATCAATAAACGATATGCTTTAAATTAAGTTTATGTAGAATATCTTTATCTCGTAACTTGTTTTGTAAGAATTGAGATAGGTTTTACGACATCAGTCTTAAATGTAAGCATATATAGTTACGAGCATGTTGGTTGGTTAAGAAAAAAGCTGTTGGTAGTGTACAACGATAAAAGATGGTGTAAAACAAGTTAAAAATGTTCATTACAATTAAGCCGTCTTGACCGAAAACCTTTATCACAACCGTTGATAAACACAGATGTGTTTATTGTTTCATATCAATCCTATAATCAATACTAATATTTATATCCAACCTTTTTTATAACCCGAAATTAATCTATTCATATTATTTATTACTTCCAGCAATTGCTCTTTCATTGGTGAAAGAAAACATTTCTACTAAAAGTTAAATCAAATGTCACATTTTTATGATTTTTGAAATTTTATTCAAAAAATAAACAAAATTTTTAACTTGCTTTATAAATAATAAAGTTAACAAAAAGCAAACTGTACATTGTTTAGTAATTTTGTTAAACATTTTTCGTCTAGCAAACATTAAAAGTAATCTGCCAAGAATTTTTAATAAAGAAACTGCAACTTATCGTATTGCATAAATTTATCGCTAATATATTGCTATTGTTCAATATAATTCATACATAGAGAAAGGATTTGAATCAATTTGATCTGAATTTTTTATATATTCAACAAAAGTCAGAAATATATAAAATCAGACTGACAATGAAATGAGCAGTTTGCAGATTATTTTCAAACAAAAAGAAAAATGATTGCAGTAAATCGCAAACAATCGATTCAAATTAGCTTCACGAAATTATTTCATTTATATACTTTTCTATTTCGACGATTAAAGTGGACAATATGATAATAAACATCGAAAATAAACAGATTCAGCACCATTTTGTTATTAATGTGCAATCAGTTTTTTCCATTTTAAATTCCATACGCTTATATGTAATGATTTCACTATTCTAAAAAAGAAATTATAACTGCCTATCACTTATGAGATCCGTATGTCATATGGTAAATTTATAAGTCTATTTCAGATTTGTCACACAAATCCAGTTTCTATTATCTTCGATTCGGAGTTAACCTTTCAATTAATTGAAAAATCTACGATAATTGATTGTGTTAAAAAAGCACTGAATTCGACAACAATGGACAAATCTTCGAATGGTAATAAAATTGCCTTAAAACATCGCTTATTGCTTCAAAATTTCATGGGAATTATCAGTTTACCAATTGCCATTAATTGCAAATAAATTTGAAACAAGACTAATGATACAAATTTTATTACATTGCTATGATAATACTCAAAGGACCATGTATTGATGCATCTAACATTTGGAAAGAATTATCAGTGATATTTGAAAGATATTAAGAGACGTTACGCTTTAAATTAGGTTTACGTGAAATATCTTTACCTGGTAACTTGTTTGGTAAGAATTTGGATAGATTTTACTACATTAGTATTCAAAAGTACACGTAGATATTTACGAGCACGTTCGTTGGTTAAGAAAAATACTGTTGGCAATGCACAACGATAAGAGATGATATAGAAGCAATGGAAAATGTTCATTGCAGCTAAGCCTTTTTGATCGAAAATTTTTGTCAATGGCAAGAGGTTGAATATCAGAATTCCAAGTATTAATCCGCCAGAAGTTAATCCTGCTTGAATTAGCATTGATCGTTCGTATTTCGCAGTTCTCAAAGTATATGTTTTAGGTCCCGTTTTTATCGCAAATGTTTCTAAAAGTTCATATTTAATTTAAAATGAACTATGAAGCAAGACAGAAAAGTAAAATTTGGAAATTTTTTGAGGATATCCAAAAACTGTTTCCAATATAGCAGGAATATTAAAAAACTTAAGATTATATTTTGGTTATAAGAGAAGAAAAAAGCGATCATTGCTATCACCAACTTTGTGTTTCATGATTAACTGATATAAACCGACGGCGTATATTGCAAGTAATTGCTGAGTACATTATAATCATCGCAATGGATAGAAATAATCCCAAAAAAGTAAGAAAACTGAAAACTGATGAGAACTAATTAATGGATTTTAACTAATCCTAGAGGGAATTGAAATGACTGTGGTATTTTGATTTCTTGTTACAGTCACAGGAAAAATTTGAAAATCACTTCATTGTTTGGAGTAGTATGAAGTTTTAATGCTTCGTAAAATTATAATTGAATTCTGAAATTTTTTGCTGCAAAAAAAACTAAAACAGTGCTTAAATCTAACTTATTAAAAAGTTTTCCGCCAGGGTGTTTTGTGTAATCTTGAAAGCACTGCAAGGTGGAAATTTGGAAATTTCTTGTATAGAGATGAAAATCAGCAAATGAAGTTGCTGAAAATTAAAACTCAATAACAGGAATAAATTTATAATTGTATTTATAATTGCAGTAATAAAATAGGAGTAGAATGTTGAATTAAAAATGTTATTCCAAAAATAACAAAATGGTGACAAAGACGATAGTTGTCAAGATCGAACAATCGTCGGTCTTCATAAACTACCTATGAGTGGAATAATTATTTAAAAGATTGCGTAAAATTTAATATATCATACCAAAAGATATCAACCACATGAGAAGAAGTAATACATACAGCTTTATTGACTGGAAAAGTACATTGTACTTTGGTAAAATTATGACTATGAAGCGATTCAGCGTCAACAAAAATGAAAAATATACCATGGCGATAGTTGAATATGCACGGATCTTGCAGAATGCATCAATCATCTGCGCCATTTTTTGGGCTAAGACATTAAAAAAATAGTTTATCAAAACAAATTTAACATGCTTAGATGTAATTGAAAAAATCTCAAATAATATTATCAGTTAAATGATACCGTTTTACTCATCAATAACAGGTTATTCTTTCATTCTTTTAAATCATATCAATAAATAATTATAAAAATAAATTAACTTACCATACTTTTTACTCAGTAATATTCCAGGCAACAGAATAATCACATATGGAATAAGGCTTACCAAATTAGAAATAATAATTTGGGATACAATAAGGATAAATGGACGACTGTAAAGATTGTTCCGACTGTAGCACACGGTAGCCATTAAAAAATTGCTAATAATACCGTATGTCACAGAGAAAAAAATCACCGTCGCTACTGTATATTTTATAATTATATGCTGTTCGTCTCTTATGTCAAATACATTTGTCGTATTTCCTTCATGGCAGTTTAGAGGTGATATTAGAAATAATACAACAATGCAGTAATAACGAACAATCATGTTATCAGTGAATAATCTTTCTCGTTGTTCTGAATTTGGGAATTAATAAAAAGAGCTTCAACTTCAGTTAATATTTTAATTTTAAATACTACTAAATTAAGTGCTCACTCCTATGATTACTGTAAATCACTGCTTAATAACTTGAGGTTATTATCGTTGTAATTCAATCTAAACAATGACTTTTAAGATGATATCTGAAAATTTCGGAGCTTGTTTCTCAGAAAAGAGAAAAAGCCGATTTTGATGCTACGAGGCTGAAATTGCGGTTTCGGAGTCTGAATGAAATGAGGCTTTGATGAAAGGTTGTAAGCAATTTCCGCATTCCCTTGAAAATATCAGCAAGAGAAAGGATAGGTTTCTGAAAATCACAGTGAGATAACTCATAAAAAAGGAAAACACGTAGATAGTTGGTATACTTAAGCATTCCGTGCATTCCGTGTAAGAACAATTATGTACTAACATTAACTGAAATTCTTATTAAAGAGATAATTGTAATGTGAGAAAAATTTTTTGTCAAAAAAAATTATTTCCTAAAATTTATTTCTGGAATGGATATTTTATATCATTCAAATTTTGGTGCTTATGATTGCATACTGATGAGAATATTTTTGTGAAATGAGTTGAATGCGCAGAAGCGGAATATTTTGAAAATGGAAAAATGATCGATAGGTGACTTACCATATGATTGGCAACTTTAACGTGTTTTGTTGTATGTTGTCATGTTGTTATCGGAGTTTATCAGACATGATGATACATAAAGATTAATTGGAAAACTTATTTTAGGAAACATTTAATCGATAAACATTTCACTACTTACTGCTTCGGATGAAGGAAAAAGTATCATTAACTCTCTCAGTTCTACTAAATCGATAACACATTAGCTGACAATAATATCCATATAATGGAAGTTTGATTCATTTATATCAGATTTTTCCGATTCGTTTTTCCAATTCATCATATTTCATATTCAAGTATAATGTACCAAAAATTAGTTTTTTGTTTTTCCAAAAACCGGAAGATATTCATTTTAACGAAAAAAAAAAGCACATCTATTTAATTTATTCATTGTTAAAAAATGTGATAATTGTAATTAAGAACATTAAAATTCGAAAGGAGATAAAAATGAAGATATCTGAAAAGTAGATCGGATATTGAAACCTGAATCTGAAGTACTATACATCATTCAATTTATTAAAAGAATTGAAAATGCTTACATAATGTCCATAAAAATACTGACTTCAAAAATTCTTAAATTATTTTGTTTTTTATTTGAATAGAGCAACTCGGATAGATAACTTTTCTAAGTAATTTATGAGTAATGAAATTCTAAGTAATTGTTTTTCTAAATAATTTTTTAATTGTATCTCAATCATTTCAGGAATTACGATGTTCAATGGAAATTGATTGTCACACGTCTTACGATTTGTCTTACGATCCCGGTGCGTATTGAAAACGAATCAATAGTAGACGAAAACCCATTTACATAGTTCCTACAAAAGAGCAAATTTAGGTATGTATCGAATTTTCTGGTCTTGTGTATTTATAAAATCTCTCAACAGAGAAAGAAACCATAAATGGTAGTTACTATTATCAGAGATATGATAGGTGTTCAAATTTAAAATCCTTTATACACAATATTTAAGTTTGTCTTTTTCTTTTCTCTCTGAAGAATTTTGAAGCTAAATTTACCTCTGTACAAAAACTTGATAGCTGAGCTGTTTGACTTTTATGTTGAATTATTTTGTTAAATTTTAGTAGTACAACTATCAGGCAAGCTTTTTCTTGTAATTTTCTTTCGAACAAATAGTTAGTACAGCTATCAGACATTTAATATAGGTAGAGTAGGTAATGTATGAAAAAATATTTATTACACATTTCATGTTTAGAATATTTCTGATAATTCATTACTAGGAATTAATTCTTTATTTCTTTGCTATTTCCCATTTTTGAAACATGAATCCTTTATCTAAACCTTTTAATGTGCAATAAAGATTTCTTCGGTTTTCCATCAATATAGGATAATTTAGAATGATGGAAAAAGGAAAAAAAAAATGACAAAATGAAAATTTTTAATGAAGAAAGCAGGTGATATGAGGAAAAGGTTATGAAACTGATATATTCATAACTTTGTTAGACTTAAATTCTAAGCAGTTAGAATGAAAATTAAACAACGCAGGTGTTTATCAGCTCGTTTCTTCTAAAATTATTAAATTTATATGACTATCAACTTTTTATTGGCGATAGTTGATCAAATAGTGTTAAAAAAATGCACCTTTATAATTTGCTTGGATTATCTGAAAAATATTTTAAACTATTTCAAACAATTTTTACAGATAATATAAAGATAACGAACACATATGAATAATGATTAATTAATGCATGAAAAATAAAAAAAATGATATATTATTGCCAATTGCTACTTTTTCAAAGTCACATCATTAATTAATTGAGACTTTAAAATAATTGACTAAGTTTAAAGAAGCTCGAGAATTTCTTTATTTGAAAGAAAAGTGCATTTGATTTGATAACTATATTTATGAGACTGACTGTTATTGGAAACAATATTTAGGATTAATTTAATTCTAAGGCAGTTCTCAACACATAATTCACTCAAAATGCTATACATCTTTATGCTCAAGTAAAATGGAAAAAAGGGCGTATTCATTGTTAAAAATGTGATAAATTCAATTAACAGCGCTAAAATGTGATCGATCAGAAATAAAAATAAATGAAAATATTTGAAAAATATCTTAAAAGTCAAGTTTTGTTAGCAATATTGCAGAAAAATATTCTCTCCGAGATTTCCTTCCATAATTCAACATTATAATTTAGTAACGAGAGTTTTTCTCGATTGTCACCCATTAGATTTCAATCAAATTATACTAATATATGCTTGGTTTAAACATAGAAACATTACTTTGATATGTCAAACAACTCCATTTGAAATGATATATTTAATGCAAGTGAATAGATTATCAATTTAATCATCCAATATATTTTATTGCTATTCTTAATGGACTATGAAATAGTTTCATAGCTTAAAAATTACTGTTAATATGATAGATATGTAGTTGTTTAGGCAAGATGAAATTAATAATAATGATGAAATCAAATATATTTATTCTCATTAAAATAGCAATCCAAGTGAATAGGCAATTTTGCTTTCAATTCAGTGGTGAAAAACTTTTTAGAAATCCATTTTTAAAGTTTATTGTTTTCTTTCTTTCTGATATTTCAACTTCTAATATGTCTGACATTTCAATTCATAAAATAAAATCCAACAATTTCCAATATTTATTGATCAGAATGCAAAAAAAAAAAAAAAAAAAAATTTCCTCTATAAAACGATCATCAAATGCATATCAATTCGATAGCAATCGATGAGGCTGACATTGAACTGCTATCCGTTTACAAGTTACTCTATATTGCTTCAATAATATTTTACATTTACGTTTTTTTTTCCTTCGGAAAAATTACTGTACAAATTTATTACTTAATGTATAACTATTGTTAAATGCAATTTGCATGCATAGAAAAGAGTTTAATTACATATTCGATAAACGCTAGAATCAGACTGACAATGAAATGAGTGCAGATTATTTTCAAACAAAAAGAAAAATGATTGCATTGTTCAAATCGCAAACAATCGATTCAAATTAGCTTCACGAAATTATTTCATTTATATACTTTTCTATTTCGATGATTAAAGTGGACAATATGATAATAAACATCGAAAATAAACAGATTCAGCACCATTTTGTTATTAATGTGCAATCAGTTTTTTCCATTTTAAATTCCATACGCTTATATGTAATGATTTCACTATTCTAAAAAAGTTAGAAATTATAACTGCCCATCACTTATGAGATCCGTATGTCATATGGTAAATTTATAAGTCTATTTCAGATTTGTCACACAAATCCAGTTTCTATTATCTTCGATTCGGAGTTAACCTTTCAATTAATTGAAAAATCTACGATAATTGATTGTGTTAAAAAAAGCACTGAATTCGACAACAATGGACAAATCTTCGAATGGTAATAAAATTGCCTTAAATTGCTTCAAAATTTCATGGGAATTATCAGTTTACCAATTGCCATTAATTGCAAATAAATTTGAAACAAGACTAATGATACAAATTTTATTACATTGCTATGATAATACTCAAAGGACCATGTATTGATGCATCTAACATTTGGAAAGAATTATCAGTGATATTTGAAAGATATTAAGAGACGTTACGCTTTAAATTAGGTTTACGTGAAATATCTTTACCTGGTAACTTGTTTGGTAAGAATTTGGATAGATTTTACTACATTAGTATTCAAAAGTACACGTAGATATTTACGAGCACGTTCGTTGGTTAAGAAAAAAGCTGTTGGTAATGTAGAACGATATAAAATGATATAGAAACATTGGAAAATGTTTACTACAATTAAGCTTTTTTGACCGAGAATTTTTGCCAATGGCACAATACTGAATATTAC